TATATATATATATATGTATATATATATATATATATATATATATATAACAGGTTGTGAAAGATGATGTGTATATCGAGAACTATATCACAGGTTGTGAAAGATGATGTGTATATCGAGAACGAGATGATAGATGGTAGAGTGCTGCTTGAGTGAGTCTGCATCTCAATGGGATTGTCAATCCCGTGGAGTTTGTAATGTGCTCAAACTTCACGGGATTGATAATCCCATCCCAATCTCGTGGAGCTTTAGCGTGAGATTAAGCTTCACGGGAATGAGAATTCAGTGAAGTGTAATTATCCACTAAAGTTAGCGGCGAAATATTTTGTAAAATCGACCCAGTTTCATGCTGACATGGCTAAAACTAGGTCGAATTTCTAAATATATAGCAGCTAGGTGGAAAATGATGAATAAGTTTAAAAATGGTGAAAAATGTAATTATTTGGAAGTCTTGATATTTAAGAGTATGTATAAATTTGATTTGGAACCAAAGATTATTTTCAGTGTGTACCTTTTTTCATTGTGGATCGGGTAGGACTTTTATTGATCTTTTAATGCTGAAAATGAATATATGATCTCATTTTTGGAGTTTATGCAAAGCTATATAAAGATTTTTTTTTCCTCTCACACAATGTTGTAAAGAGTTTTTTGTGCTATTTATAATAAGTTTTTCATTTTCTTTTGAATATAGGTTATAAGTTGTGCTTTCTTGTTCATTAGATATATTCATGATTTAATTCTTAACTAATTACTTGGTTCATATGCACTTTAAGTTCAGAGGTACTGTCGACTTATCCAACGATTTCAATATTTCTTGCCCTTTTGATTTTCTTACCTCTATCATGCATCTCTTTTGTTCTTTCGTTAATAATTATGTTGAATCATCAAACTTTATTTGTCTTCTTTTTGATTAATCACCAATAACTTTTTTTGTTCCTTTCAACTTTAGGCCACAAAGATTAATTAATAGAACATATTGGCTATGTATCTTCTATTCATTGAGTAAATTAGAATACACCAACCTATATATGAGATTGGATTGTAAAAAAAGTTTGATTTCTAGTATAAAATCCATATTAATATGTCTCTTGATTGAGATTCTCTATCGGATTAAAAAATTGTCTTATACAATTCGTATGACTTGAGCTATTCAAACGATATTTTATATCGGTTGTGATTCCATCCTGCTATTATACCTTTTATAATTTTGCATCCAATAATAATTTTTGTTATTCCAACAAGATATTAGATATTTAATAATAATTTTTTATTTTAGTGGCATTTGTAATTTTCGTGCATGATATATTGAAAATCAATATACCATAAGTAAATATTATATTGTAAGTACATATTTAAGAATCAATAATGTACAATATATTATTTACTAATAATTTCTTAAACCAAGCATGACTTATTTTTAATTTTTGGATTTTCGTCAGGTAAAAGCTTGCGTTGCGTCTTTATGTAGTACCCATGAAATGAATAATTTTCTAGTTCAGATTGTGCAAACCGTTGTTATGGCCAAAGCCCATATTTTAGGCCCGAGCTGACTGGCCCTGGGAAGACAACGACAGACGAAATACAGGATAAATTAAAGATGGGCTGCATTGGACAGGCCCATTTTAGAATTTTAAGGTTCTGCAAAAAGCCCATCCTTAACCAGAGAACAAAATGCCCAGACCCAACCCAAACGCACATCCTCTCCTGTTTCCGTTCTATGGTCCAGCAGAATAAAATAGGATTTAATTATTATGCCAATTTCCTGTTTGAGGAAATGCCAAGCCCAGAACTGCTCTCTGCAGTTGAAGGAGATGGAGACGGAGTGCCAATATCCATTCATTCAATCTGCGTTCTGAGGTTTAGTATCATGTGCACACAATTTGTTTACATCGCGATATAGTTGAGCTTTTTCCCTCTTAATACATTCTTATATGCTTCTACTGAATGCCACGGCTTGTTATAGATTCTCATGCGATCGCCTTCGACGCTCGTATCGTCAACCTTGAATTAGCTGCCTGAAGAGATGAGGTAATATACTCTGGTACATCATAACTATAGAATTTATAGCAGACATCTTGGATCAGGTCGGACTCGAATGGTATTCACACTGAAGGAAAAAGAAGAAGAGGATGAACTTTACAGTGATCAGTAAGTTAGCCTATAGCTATATAACTCTATGATGACTACCATCTCTACTACTCCGTCTCTCTCGAGTGCTAAGTGCACCTCTCCCTATGAACAAAATGAATCAGAGGGGAACTCAAAACGCATCAGACGAACAAACATCCCGCGTACGAAGCCAGCTACATTTCTTTTGAACACTTATCAGTGACGACCTATCTATACATCCATACGCCGTGCGCAGAGCTCAGCAGCCCCAAATACGCATGTGTAGACCATTCGGTGCTTCAACTCTTGGAAATTTCACTATTTTATCTCCTCCAACTTCTTCGCATCTACATATGAAAAACAGATGCACGAAGCTAGTAAGGTTGACGCCGCAGAAATGTGAGTTGCAATGGAAAATCTTACAACTAGAGACGCATTCGATTGCGCGTCGTTATCACCAAAAGTTGTGTGTACGTAGGGATAAGAGGGATGCAGCCATATACCTGTATCTAGTAACAAAGTAGTGAAGAAATGTGGAAATCTCAGCCATGCCCAAATCCTTCCCAGGGCATAATCTGCCTCCACCCCCAAATAGCATGAAGTACTGGTGCGTCTCCAAGCTCTTATCCTGCGATTCGGGAAACAATGCATTCAAGGATTCGAGGTTAGAAAGTGGTCGAAATGGTGATTTCATTAGTCGACTCCTGGTGAACTTACCATCCATCGCCAAGGATTGAAGGTTAAAGGTTCAGGATATAGATATGGGTCATAGTTGATCTCCCTTGTGTACACATAGATTCTCCACCCTTTGGGGATCACAAATCCTGGCAGAAAAATAATAGTTTGCGGCAAGCATTAGTTTTTCATTTAAGGCTAACATTTTAACTCTGCTGCTTTTTTGCATTTGAGGATCTTGTGATATGGGAGCTAACCTCTCATTTCTATGTCTTGAGTCGTTTTTCTTAGGACTCCGTTAACAACTGTAGCCATTCTCAAAGTCTCAAAAATCACCTACAATACAATACACGCACAGACCGTTAGCTTTGATGAACCGTGTAGGCCAATTTGAGACCTATAAAACCCTCATTTTTGAATTCCATTTGCTTACCGCTCTAGTGAAGCTCATAGACTTGTAATCACTCCAGTTAAGCGCATCCTCAGGCGTCTTTCCTTTCCTGATTTCCAAATGCTCGTTCTGCGATCAGAAACAGATCATCAACAAAACCGAAACGAGTTGCGGAAAAGAAATATCAAGCTATTCAAGGTCAAAACTCGTTCTCACCCTGAGGACTTCAAGGGCTTTTGGGTGGTCATGGAGAAACTTGACAGCCATCATCGAAGTCGTGGAAACGGTTTCGTAACCTGAATAAATCAGCGCGATGATCACATCGATTATCTGATCGTCGGTCAGTTTTGCTTTTGACCCTTCGTCAGCCTGCAATAGGCAATCAAGCATGTCCTGGTGCGAGCTCGGAGAGGATCTCCTTTCCTCAATTATCTCCGTCAGCATGCTTATAACCTTCTTCCTCGCCTGCGAAAGAGAATTCGTTAAGCTTAACGAGCGATAAATTTCCCGACAACTAACAAGAATTTGACCATCTTTCTGACGGTGTATTCACTTATCAAAAAAAAAAAATTCACCCTGAAAGCGCGGTGGTAATTGGTGCCTGGCAGGTTGATGGGCAACGAGAGAGTCCCGAGAACAAGCCGAAAGATCTCGACCTTGAGGGCTTCAGCAAACGGGCTAGTTGGATCAATGCTAGCAATTTGCTTCAGGCTCGACAGCAGCGCCATCTGGACGTAGAGAGAGCAGGAGAAACGTAAACCTCATGCTACACGATATGTGTTTAGTCAGAATCACGCACCTACGCGCCCGCCCTAAAACCTCACCTCCTTGGTCTTCTGTTGGATGTCTACGACCCCGTCGCTCCAGCTGCCGAGGTGGGATCTCATGAAGCTGTCGATCTTGGGCAGGAGCTGACCTCTGATCATCGACGGGCTGACGAGACCGAGCATCGAACTCCGCAGAGTCTTGTGGAGGGAGCCGCTCACCGCTCCGATGTTGCTCCTCCCCAGCACGTCCAGCATGGACTGGGGGTACCCAGGCACAAGCCCCTTGCTTTCGCTCATCAGTATGTATCTGTTCAGCTCTGGATCCATGCACACGACCGTCGGACATCCCAGTATATGTGATTTGAATAAAGCCCCGTACCTGTAAACGTATACTCCCGTATAAATTTACATCATTAAACCGTATATATATACAGACACTGACCGCTCTGACCAAATTTTGGGGGATAAAGTTAGTTCCACTTTTAGTACTTTAGGCCATCTTTTGCCGATCATGCAAATCCACGGTAAATGTAAATTCTTCGAGTACTTCAATCCAGAGCCAAGCCACTTAAGGCTAAATGAGACAAACTCGCTTTTTCCCACTATCATGTACTACCGTTCAGAGGGAAGCAAAGGCTTCATGCCCCCCTGAAGTCCCAGGTGAATGCAAAAAAATATAGTGTACCCCAAAAAAAAAATAAAAAAAATAAAAAACAAGATGATGTTCCTTCAAGTGACTGTAAACTAATCAGACCCATCGACCTCTACAAACTCTTTAATACTGGAGTAGAACTGAAAAATGGAAGAATACGATTCATGCAGCCGATCGTTCGAAAAAAGTTTAAATTAATCAAGAGCACAAACTGTACAGCGCATTGATAAAACCTCACCTAGCCATCTGATTCTTCATGAAGTCGGGCCCTTGCTTAAGAAACTCGGTGGTCTCTCCGAAGACGGGCCAGCCCATGGTCCCCGGAGGCAGTCCCTTCTTCCTGTATCTCATCTCGTTCCAGTTCAACAGAGCACAGCAGAGAAGCAAGAACCCAAAGCCCAGACCGAGGACAACCCCAAGAAAAGCCATTCTCAGCTCGCCTCCTTGAGCTGAGCGCCCAACTCCACCTCCTCGAGCCAGAAAACGAGATGGGCTGCTCTCTGTTCTTTATCTCTTTTTCCGTCTGTGGTCTTGAAAGAGCGTGTGGGTGCGTGCGTGTATATATAGCCCCCCATACACCACAGAAGAAGTTACTCGTCCTGATTAACACTACAGTAAAAAAAAAGTCTTTTTTAAAAAAATTTAAAAAAAAAGAAAAAGAATATGGGGACCAAACTTTCAGAACTTATCTTTGACTCGCTATCCATTGGGCTCCAAACCCAAATCTCTGCTCGCTTAGTAAATGAGGGTGGAGATATCCACATCGCATGGTAAGCTCGAGCTTAGGATTGTATACGAGCGGGTTGAGTGGATTTCAGTAATAAATTTGCTAGCAATATACAAGATGGCGCATGGTCACTAATTAACAACTGGATCAAAAATAATTTTTAAAATATATATATATATCTTAATTAGTGTTGTTATAATACTGTCAACAGCAACTGCCACAAAAAATCAAGATCTTCACATGCATTTCGAGCAGATCTGCTAATATCTATTCAGTTGGATAAAAGTATTGGCAGCCTAGCTTTTGGATGCATATATATGAAATGCTACAGTCCAGAGTAGGTAATAAACAGATTGCTATTTTATTTTATTTTTTTCGTATTTCATTTCTTTGTTATTTTGCAAAATTTGTCGTTGGCATTAAACACAACCCTTTATCACAAGCATGTGTTCTCTGTTGTTGGAAATTAACTCAGAAAATTAACTTGGTAGTGAGAAAATTAAGAACTGAAAACATAGCCAAGAGTCAATAAGAACGGGTCAGCAAGCATTAATTAATCGATCTTTGCCAAAGGTGATTAATTGTTTCTAAACTTGAAGTTTGTGCAGCTACGCACATCAACAACCCACTTTTAAGCCAGCAAAGCATTGTTGTTCACACTGGTCAGCACTAGGGAGCAGTCTAGGAGCTAATAATAGGTGCTAATGAGTCTGATAAAAACACTTCACTGCTTGTAGGGTGACTAGTACTGGGGAGTAGGAATTGGGAGATGTATTTGATCCTTTCAAGGAAATTTTAACTCACTTCCCTTTTTTCGGGTAGACAAGCTCTCCCCTTTGTCAATGACTCTTTAGAAAAAGTTGGCCGTGTTCATGAAATTTCCCCTTGCTGCATCATACGTTGCCGTTGATTCTTCTTGCGTTTGTTTGTGATTTGTGACTTTGCTTAGTGAGGGAAAATGTGGCTGGGATGGCCGGATGGGGACTTGAAGGAGGACTACGGTCCCATAAAGATCCTTTGATGGTGATTTGACAGCCAAGGTTGCAGTGGTGACCCGTTCTACTTTCCAGAGAGTTTTAAGTTTGTTGCTACTGCTTAAATGGCCAAAAAGGTTAGGGAGGCATGAGAGGCTAGGGGTGAGCATTCCCCACTAATGTGTGGGTGAACGAAAGGCTAGATTACTAGATTGGTATTGTTATTCGATCCTTTTTGTCACTTTGGTATATTTACAAAATATGACCACAACAAGATATTTTACTAAGGCCCTGCTTACCAATAAGACCATTTTCCTTAAAATTTTGGCAGAAAAATTTATTCTACCTTCCTAACCTTTCAAAATTATTAAATTCACACTTTTTTTTTCTTGAAAATTCTTGCGGGAGGAGAAGAGGGGGGAGAGGGAGGGGAGGAGGTCGGAGGGGAATGAGAGGGAGGGGCAGAATGAGGAGGAGGTGATGACAGATTGCTCGGGGAAGGCGAGGATCGTAACGGGGATGGGAGTGGCGGAGGAGGAGGAGAGGGGAATGGGAGAAGGATGGAGTTGGAGGGGGAAGGGAAAGTGGAGGAGGGGAGGAGAGGGGAATAGGAGAGGAGGAGGAGGAGGACAGTGACGACGATGACGACGAGGAGGAGGAGGAGAGGAAGAGGGAGGGATCATTTTTTGGGAGGGAGGAGGTGCCGCAAGGAAGGAGAGGGAGGGGAGTAGGGAGGTGGAGGGGAAGAGGGAGGCGGAGGAGGGAAGAGAGGGAGGATGACGACGAGGGAGGTGAGAGGGAGGGGAGGAGAGGGAGGGGGATGCATCTTTAATTGGGAGGGTGGAGGAGGGTCAGAGGGAGAGAGGGTGGCGACGCATGAGTTGGATAAGGAAGGGGAGGCAGAGGAGGGGAGGAGAGAGGAACGGGAGAGGAGGAGGAGGAGGAAGAGGACGACGACGACGAGAAGGAGGAGGAGGAGAGGGAGAGGGATGTTAGTCTAAGGAATATAGACTCAAAGCTGGAATCAAACAAATTGTTGGATAGCAGGTTTCCTAATCTATTTTGGTAACATGATTCTTAATCTGTTTTGGTAACAGAATTCTTAATATGTTTTGATAACAGGATTCGTAATCTGTTTTGGTAACAGATTCTTAGGATTCTTAATCTGTTTTGTTTTTTGGTTTTAGAATTCCTAGTCTGTTTTGGTTTTAGGTTTTTTATATATATGGAACTCCTTAGAAGAGATTAGACATCAGAAAAAAGAGGGTTTTGAGAGAATTCTTCAGAGAGATCTCAGAGATATTAGATCCTATTTGTGGGCATTGTAATCTTCTTCAATATTAATCAAAATTGTGTGGTGTGGCTCCCGAGGACGTAGGCACGATTGCCGAATCTCGTTAAATCTGGTGTGTTCTTTCTTGTTTACTTTCCTGTAAGTTTTTTATCTTTTATTTGCTGTGATTTTTCTTACTTTTCTACTCTCAAACACAAGGCCCGGAAGGGCAATGGTTCGATTTGATTGTTTCGAATCCCCAACAACTGGTATTCGAGGTTCGTTCAGAAGGATTATGAGAGAGTCATGGCAGAGAAAAGCAAATCTAAGATCGAGAAGTTTTACGGTTCAGACTTCGCCTACTGGAGTCGCAGATGGAGGACTATCTGTACCAGAAGAACGTGTATCACCTGTTGATGTGCAATGCTAAGGGAAAGAAGAAAGAAGAGTCAGACGAGGATTGGGAGATACTAGATAGGAAGGCTCTAGGGCAAATCTGGTTGTCGCTCGCCAAGACAGTCACACATAACATATTGAAGGAGAAGACGACGGTGGGGCTTATGGAAACACTCGCGAAGATGTACGAGCAACCGTCTACCACAAATAAGATGCATCTCGTCAAGACACTCTTTAATCTTAAGATGACAGAAGGACGCTCATTCATAATGCACCTTAGCGAGTTCAACATGATCAAACCCTAAAACGTGTTTGTGTTTATACCAAACACTAAGCTCAAAAAAAAAGGAAACCACAATCAGGTCCAAAAATCCGACACGGTCAACCGTACTTGACGCCGTAGTCGACCGACCAGAACAACAGAAACTCACCCTATAAACAAACCTGTATCGGTCGACCGACATGACCCTTCGATCTACCGGACAGCCAATTCGGTCGATCGGAAGTATCTTGCGGTCGATCGGCCAGAGTGCATCAAATTGACCTATACCCGTGCACGTTTTCAGTCGACCGACCTTGCCTCACGGTCGATCGGACAACATCCAAATTATACACTTCTTCCACATGTTGTTGACTACTAGGACTTCACTCCAACGGGATTTGGTTGCAACCCACAAATGCCTAAAATAGTCTCCAACACATAAAACCAAATACCTATTACCTCCCAATGATGTCTCCTTGGAAGGCCCTCAAACGCCTACATGAACATCATCTAGAAGACCCTTCGCTCGATGAATAGAAGTGTCAAACTCCACCTCGGTCTTCTTGCTCACACCAACATGCTCACAGGACTTCAATCTACAGGTCAAGGCACCTCTCACCAATCCATGCACGGTATCCACACTCGAATATCCCAGCCTCAAATGCCACAATCTAGCCCAATCAAAAGAAGTCGTCAGCTCTCCATCTATCATAGTGCTTCTAATCAAATAGTATAAATTATTCTTCCTGGCACCCTTCATCACAATCATGGACCCCAATGTGACTTCAGAGATGCATCCTCTAAGATCACCCTATAGCCTGTTGCCTCCAAAACTCTAAGTGAAATGATGTTCTTCGACAACTACGGAATGAACCTCACTTCCTCCAACTCCCGAATCACCCCGTCACACATTCTGATCCGAACTGTTCTAATACCACAAATAGGGCATTCATAATCATTACCCATGAGCACGACATCCCCTCTTTCCAACTCCTTAAAGCTGGATAACCAATCCCTTCTAGAGCAAATATGGTATGAAGCACCTGAATTTAACATCCACTTCATAGAGTCAGCAACACAAACTGACGGTAGTGTAGAGCACGAGTAGCTCGAAGAATCCGAATCTGAATTGTCGTCACTAGCCTTGATAACATTCACCTTTAAAGCTTGTATAGGTTTTCCCTTATTCTTCCCGGCTCGATCTTTTAACTTTGGGCATTCAGACTTTCAATGTTCATCTTCTTTGTAAAAAGCACACTGATTTCTACCAACTACAGTATGTGCTCCTCTAGACTACGACCTCCTACTTCGGTTTGGACTCTTCCCTCTTGCGACTAATGCCAACGCTACTGTATCAATTGAAGTCTCTTTATCTTTCTTCCTAAGCTGATAATTCACAAGAGCAGCGTTGATATTACTATACGAAAGAGGTGTTTTCCCATTAATAAGAGTAAAAACGAATGCATCATATTCATCGTCAGACAAGGAACTCAAAAACAACAACAACACATTGTCCTCATCTTCAATCATAACATCCACATTCGCTAAATCCGTAAGAAGCTTCGTGTAGTGGTTCATATGATCACTAATTGAGATTCCCTTCTTCAATTAGAAACGATAAAGCCTCCTCTTCAAATACAAGCGATTCTCAACACTCTTTGTCAAATACTTGCTCTCTAAAATCTCTCAAATCTTCTTTACCAAAGTCTCATTGATCACATTATACTTTAGATCTTGAGTTAGACAAGATCTAATCACACCACACGCCATTCGATTCATCTTCTTCCAAACCTTTTCTTCAATGTCATTCGGCTTCCCGTCCAACTCCAAAGTATCCTCCAAATTTTACACGTTAAGCGCATCCAAGACTTCACATCTCCATAAACCAAAATTGTTCGTGTCATTAAACTTCTCCACGTCTATTTTCATAGAGTGAATATTCAAACTTTGGACGGTCTTCATGCCAGAAGTACCACCCTCAACTCCTTCTTTCTCAACCATCTTCCTCAAAGCACTAACAAACCAATACGAAGCAAATTGAAAGAAATAGATTCAACTGCGAGAAAGGTAGATTTTTACCTCTAATTAAAACCCTAACAAGAGTCTCCGAAAAGATCTCACCCCCACACGACGGAAGACAATATCCATAAT